CAGAAACAAACAAATTATATAAACCTGTATGAAAATTCCCATTGATTTCACATGCCTGCTGCATATAGTTCTAATGTCTTCTTTTTCTGCTGCTATTCAAAAATGTTCTCTTGCACTGTGGTTGCATGCTCGCATCCTCAAACAAATTAAATTGCTTGTATATAATTGCGTAAGATAATGCATTCAAGTCACACCATCATTGATTTTTGAAGCAAAACTATGTTTATAAAATGTAACCTCACACTGTTTCTGTCTATATATAGACAGAAACAGTGTGAAGTTACATTTTTAGCCCTACAGAACATGATGCTGTGATGCAGCTTTCATGATATGCATTTTAAATCCACTACACGCTTGACCAACTTTCTGTAATGTAAGTATGCATGGAATTTCAGATATTAAATAAGACATCAAAATTCTCAACCAAACACAGTAGGCCCCTATACTTTACGTATCATATTTCAGAAACATTTCATCTTGGTTGGAAATGTTTAAAATGAGGTATGCTAAATTAAAATAAAGTAATAAAACAAAACGTAAATCACCTGTAGTCAACATTCTGGTGTTTGAAATGGAACTTGAAAACGTTGTCTTCATCATCATCATCTACAGAACTAGACGCTGCCAAATGGCCCCGATATTCCATTAGGAACTCACCCCTTTTCTATTGCATTAGTGGTATAGATCCCAAGGCCTAGGAATTGTAAACATCGTAATTATTTTGATTAGAAATAGACGGATCTTTGAGCAACTTGTATAACATTAACATTTGTTATGCAGAATTGGGGCAGTATTACTATACCCTAGCAAGCAGCTTGTATTTCAACTGACCAGCCGAGTTTGAGGCCTCATTTTCAATTTTAAAGTGAGTTTCCTTCAACCTAATTGAGAGATCACACTTGAAGATATCAAACTAGAGGGGCACAATTAACAAGGCATCTGAATTAATGAAAACTTTCTCAAAAAGACAACATAGTCATAACAGATTTAAGAGAGATTTGGAGTGAGTCTTAAGAGGCTGTAAAGGTCAAGCATTCAATTATAATTACGGTATTGGGAATACTTTGGACACTCTTTTGTAGGAATTGAGTAAGTTCCCACCAGCCGAAATTTGTTTCTGCATATTTGCAATACATGTACTTAGCAGTTGGGATATCTTACCTACATATGTACTCACAAATCTTTTAACAAAACCATCTGGATCTTTTGACAGTGTACACCATTTCTTCGCTTCCTGCTGTGAAGAAATCCTCTGTTTCTTGTAAGGGGCCATAATTCTGTATAACAAAAAGAAATAAAGAGAAAAGGTTTTAATAAAGCAATAATATTTGAGCAAAAGTGCCATGCAGCAAAAACAAAAATTAAAACAGTGTCTGATAATCGCAGAAATTTATCGAACAATTTTTCCTCTTTTCTTAGTTATCACCAAGGCCAATCACAGCAACCATCAAAATCAGAGAACATTTCTTGTTTTGAAGTAAATAATGCCACAATTTGAATTGTTTTTACTGCACTAAAGTCTAAAACGTGTTGTATGCTCTAACTTCTGTGTGAGCAAAGTTTCCATCTTCTTTTTTCATATGATGGAAAATTGTAGAATGCAGATTCCGTTACCAAGTCCCACAATGTTCACATTCATACGTAGTCATTTAGCGGATAAAAAAAACAGGGGAAAAAATGTGTCTTGCTGGAAAGCGCATTTTGAAATGAACACATGATGACCTGGAAGCCCAAAAGTTTTGATTGACTATAATCTATGCGGTATGCGTACACAATGGTGTAAATTTGCCCAATAGGCAAGATGGCGCATATTAAAACCATGCAACACCTTGTTCGCGCGCCTAAATTCATGAGTACAAAGTCAAAATGATATTAAGCACGTAACCATATTCCTCATGGTACAAAAGGTTACCCCAAAAAGTCACTGCATGTTGCCATGGTTTTGCTGGTACAATACTGAAAAGAATTTTTTAAAATGGTTATAGGTCAAATATCCACTGCCTAGTAGTAGGCTGCTAGCCTGGATATGCCATGAACTATTCCTAATGCGAAAGCTTTACTCACCATGAAATCAACGACTAAGCCTAAGGCTAAGCTGAGCTTGAACCTGATGTAGGCTTAAGCAAAGCCCAGGGCTAGGCCTAGCCTAAGTCAGAATCTCTCATGTAGGCCTAGATAAAAAATTAAAGCCTAAGTTTATGAACTGTTAGTTCAAGGATGATCACAATGGTTAAAATAAACATCCACATGAACAAACAAAGACGGTGATATAACCAAACGCTGCATGTATTCATGCACAACATTGATTTTTTTTCGCTGTCAAAAATATGGGAAAAGTCATATCAAGTAGTTGCGGAGGGGTCTGCCATTTTGCAAGAAACGACCTAGTAGTAGACCTTCTTGGTAGATCAAGGTTTAGAAAAATACTAAAGCCCAACATACCTTGTTGCATTTGTAGGACTGTAATAATGTGTGGTCGCTGCGGTACACGATTTACGTTCAAGCATGTGTGAGTATATTTTAATGGAAATTCAAAGAGCGTGGACTGGCCTCCTAGTGTTACTATTTGCCTTAAGGGATTAACCAGATGTGACACTGCATCGGCTCAGTGGGTTCATCCAACATCATGGTATAAAAAAGGCAGGGCTTTCAAAAGGGAAAATTACGTCGTGTTTAGTTGATCACCATGTGCATATTGAAGACTTTTTCAATTATCAGCAGAATAAGAAGTGTGATTATTGACACTGCCAGTACACTGGGGGTAGTGAAGAGGATGCTCTTATCCTTGTCCATTCTGAAATAAAACAACGCAGTCATCCTTTGTTAACCCACAGTAGCATGTACCATAAAATAAAGCTGATGAATGCTCACCTATAGGCTCGCCTAATCATAATGTTAGGGCTTCAAACGCAACCTTACATGGAAAATAGAGTAGGATATAATAATGTTACATCCACTGCAAATAAGGTAGTAAACTCCGCAGGCCCAGGCATTTCTTTCTATAAACGATATTAGGCCTGCTGGATAGTACAGTGCCCTCTTTGACGTGTAGATACCTTCTAACTAGTGACGGGAAAAAAGTTTCACTTTTCTAAGACTTCTATTTTTCATGTTTAATTGTAAATATTTCTGCATTCTAGGCCTAGGCCTTTGTCCCCAAAACAGTCCTGCGCATGTTCAGTGCCTAGCAAAATATCTTTACGCAAAGTAAAAGAAAGCCATGGAGTGCCAACTATAAACATCAACTGCTTACGTTGTATTAACAGTTAGCCTTAGTCTAAGACCCGCACTGGAGACAACTCTGTGGCTGAGCCATACGTTGAATGCAAAGGTTGTATACATAGCCACAAATGAGTTGTACAGAAAATCAGCAGAACATTTTTTTTCAGCAGACTTATGAAAAAGATTAGAGAAATATTGCACATTTGGTTTGAAAAACCTTTTTTTTTAAAAAGATCCCTGAAACAAACCCTTGCACAATGGAACAGCAATATATACTGGGTGATTTGGCAGACTTTCGAAGTGGATTTAGCAAAATTTTACATGGTAATTACGGTCATCCTGCCATGTAAGACGGTTAGTCGGATTCTCACTGGTGATACTCCTACCGTTTTGCGCATGCGGAACTCGGGGTACCAGAGTGACATGCCTGTCTATGATTTTCTGATCATTTTGGAAAACATTCGTTGTGGCAAAGTTGTGCCGTACTTTACATCAAATATCTTGGCAATTACAGATCCAACACTCGCGTGAACTCACAGGAAGCCTAACAAGTAAGTGATTCACCTATGGCATGTATGGGCAAAATTATACATGGTTATATGTAGCGGATCAAAAGATGCTTTTGCTTGTATTTACCCGAGGGAAGCGCATGGCGTTGTTTCCAACGCCACGTTCACGGGTCTAAGTCTAGCCTACAGCCCGGCTTACCATGCTTACCGTATGTCTTTGCAACCTTATGATGATACTTGATAGGCATAGCCTAACTATAGCCTAAATACGATGGCTTATAGACAGCAGGGCGATAGTGACAGTCAAAATAAGTATCCAGATGAAGAGGACAAATACCGTGATTATTAATTTTCGCACATAGTCCTGTACAACGTCAAGCCTCTAACTGTGTAACGGTCTGTTACACACAATTAGGTTCAGATAACTCCACAAGAGAAGATGATTGATTCAGGATTAACAGTTCTGCTTGATTTATTCCGAGATTACGATAATTGGAAATCACATTGTTGATCGGCCATATTTGATTATCCCAGCATGCTTTGTCGGTATCCCTTATGACGTCATGAGTGGTAGTATCGAGTCAAGTCGTTTGTGTGAGTCTCCATGTCATGTCGTCATCTACTGCAGTCGTGTCAAGCCCGTTATACTCCCCCCCTCTAAGAAAAGTCATGTGTTTGTTTCTTGTTCTTCAGGGAGGTCGTGTCCTCTGAAATTGGCCATAAGTAAAATATACATTGTTAGCTGACAATGATTTACAATCTTCCATAAAATTTTGTTTCGATTACAGATAATCAATGGTGAGTTTAAAAATAACACAAGAGTCCTTCTTTCCTGCGAAAAGGAAACAAATGTGATCAGTATCCGCAACAACTGTCAAGGCCAATGAAAACACAATTAAAGTAGCAGTCCGAAGATTCACCATTATTCAAAGTGAATAACATGTAAACGTACATGTAGGGTTGTTCTCCTTCCCTAAACAAAAAGAAAATTTCTTTTCAAGACTTCTTTTTCTTCTGTTTGATGAAATAAACAATATGAACATGAACAGTTGCTTTGTTCTGAAAATAAAAAATGCACAGCAAAGTTAATTACTTTTTTCTTCTTTCCGTCCGTTAGTCCGTCTATGCCAACCTAACAAACTGGAATGCATGTACATGTGAACAAACAAGTGGAGTACAAAATCTAACTGGCCCTAGCACTACAGTCCAGACCAGCTATGACTGTAGCAAAGGAGCCTAACTAATAAGAACAGTCAGCCACATGCAAGACTAGCAAGGCTTAAGTTGGTCGATGTGAGCGATCACTTCCGTTCCAGGTGAAGACACTGGAGCAAGTTTATAGTTCACTGGAGTGAGCTGCTCCAAGACTGTCAATGGGCCACACCACTTTGGAGCTAGCTTGGCAGAAAAGTGCTTCTCTGCGCTGGACTGCGGATGGGTTTTCAGCATAACCTGATCTCCAACCGCGTGCTTGGCAGAACGACGTCGTTTATCATAGTGGTGTTTGCGCTTCTGGTAAGATTTCTGCATGTTCCGGGTCACCTCCTGCCTCACAGTATCTGCATCCTGCCTCTCTGACGTATCGGTGAGATGCCATTTGTTGTGTAGTGGACTCTGCAGCTGACGACCAAACATGACAACACAGGGGGCCATGCCAGTCGTGGAGTGGACAACAGAATTAAGCGCAAATGCAAATTCTGAGACGTGAATGTCCCACAGTCGATGATCATCAGTGAGGTACGAACGCATCATCCCCTTGATGTTACGGTTCACTCGTTCAACCCAGTTGGTCTGTGGGTGATATGGAGATATAAAGATCTGCTCTACACCCCACTCGTCGCACACCGCTGCCATTGCCCTGGAAATAAACTGGGAACCATTATCAGACAAAAGTTTCTTAGGGGCTCCATAACGGCAAAAGAGCTGTCGAACCATCAGGGACGCCACAGCCTTACCCGTCGCCTTCCGCATGGGAAACACCTCAGTCCATTTTGAAAAATGGTCTACTGCAACGAGCAGATACTCATGCCCACCATAGCTACGTGGAAAAGGGCCCATCAGGTCTACACCCAAGACTTCCCATGGCTGTTGAGAGTGTGACGATAGCATCAGACCCGGTGGTTTCCTGAACACCGGCTTCATCTCCCTACATGTTTTACAGGCTCTCACAAAGTTGCGCACATCTTTGGAGATCCCAGTCCACCACAAACAAAGGTCATCCAGGCGGTTGAGGGTCTTGGTACGCCCAAGATGGCCTGCTGTCGGTTTGGCATGACAATCGTGAAGAACATCCCGCTGTAACGTCTTTGGAACAACAATTTTCCATTTTGTCCCGGTGTAACGGTAGAGGACATCATCCTTCACCCTGTATGCACCTGACTTGTCTGCCTTCATTTTGATCAGGGTTGGGTCGCGTGACTGGTCTGTCTTGAGCTGTTGCCAGCCGGGAAAAGGAAGAGACTGGTTGTTGGCCTCACCATCTCCAACTGTCCGCCACTGAAGGTCCATCCGGTTCCTCCAGCGTGTCTTCTTGCACTTGGTGCAGGTGTACACAGGCATCGCCTCTGCTCGTCTACGGCTAAGATTGACACACTTTAGGTGATACCAGCTCTGGCATAAGTCGCACTGCACCCAATCCACCGGATCAGTATCTGGCCTCTTGCAGACAGTTGCTGCACATGTATCATCATCCCGTGCTCCATCGGTCTGGGCCCCAGGATTGACATCAGCACCCACAGGTGGCGTAGCAGGTTGTATATCATCACCAGTGAACGGGAACTCCTCTGCCAGGTCTTCCCAAACAGCTCCAACAATTGTGTCATGAGCCCTGGACAAACCGTCTGGTAACACATGGAGAGAACCTGGTCGGTATGTCACATCAAAGCAAAATTCCTGCAGCCGCAACACCCATCGGGCAAGTCGACCAGTTAGCTGGGCCTTCCGGAACAACCAAGTAAGAGACTGGTGATCGGTGACTACCGTGCAGCGTTGGCCCTCCAAGTAGACACGCCACTTCTCCAACGCCCACACAACTGCAAGGCACTCGCGTTCTGTTGTGCTGTAATTGCGTTCAGGGCCGTTGAGTGCACGACTTGCAAAGGCAATGGTGCGCATGTTTCCGTCATCCTCTTGAAGCAAGACCGCGCCCAATCCAGTGCCGCTGGCATCAGTGTGTACCAGGAATGGACGGGTAAGGTCAGGGTAGGTGAGTATGGGCTCTGAAGTCAATATCGTCTTCAGGGTTGTGATGGCGGCGGTACACTTGTCCGTCCAGTCCCACTTGGCGTTCTTGTGACAAAGTTGATTTAGGGGTTCTGTGATGTCAGCCAGGCGTGGAATAAACTTGGCATACCAAGTTACCATTCCCAAAAACTGCTCAGGCTGCTTCACAGATGTCGGCATAGGGTAGTCAAAAATAGCCTGCACTTTCTCTGGATCCATCTGCAGACCATGTGGTCCAACAATGTGGCCCAGGTAGCGCATCGTACTGCATCCAAAACTGCACTTGTCTCTGTTGACTGTTAGGCCCGCTTCACGGAGTTTCTGGAGAATTTGTTGAAGATCAACAAAGTGTTGGCTCACCGACGAAGAGTAACACACTATGTCGTCAAGATAAACATAGCATGTTTTCCCGATGAAGTCTCGAAGGACCGTCTCCATTAATCTCTGGAAACTAGCTGGGCCGTTGACAACCCCAAATGGTAGGACTTTAAACTGGTAGAGCCCTTCCTCGCATATGAATGCCGTTTTCTCCACATCTTCTGGGGCCATTGCCATTTGATGGTAGCCGCTCTTGAGATCAAGCGATGTGAAGACAGTTGCACCATGCAAAGACTCGAGGATCGCATCGATCGTTGGCATCGGGTAGACATCGATCTTTGTTAATCGATTCAGCTTGCGATAATCGACGCATAGCCGATAATCACCTTTCTTCTTCTTGGGTACCATAACAACTGGTGATGCCCACGGGGAATGCGAAGGCTCAATTCTTCTGTCCTCCAACAGTTCCTCCAACTGCATTTTCAATGACTGTCGACGCTCTGGGGAAAGACGGTAAATGGGCCCACGGACTGGTAGGGAATCGCCGGTGTCGATGCGGTGCTTACTGATGTTTGTCCGGCCGGCTTTGGTTGTCAGCACATCCGAGAACTCACTTAGTAAGTCCTCCAGGTGACAGTTGTCGACAGTCGTGAATATGGGGTCAGCTAGAAGATGTAATTCACCTTCCAAGGGGGGGGGGGGTCAGGGGTAGAAATCACAGGATCGATCTCAGGGGGTCACATGACGTCTCACGTAACCCAAGCAATGGCCACTTGATGCGCGGCCCATCCGTGTGAATTCCAATCCAATAGGAATTCTCGCTGAAATCCATCACCAGTTTTGCCCGTGTAGCGAAGTCCTTGCCTAGCAACAGGGGGGTCGGCAAAGTTTTCGTCTGATGCAGGCGAACAACGAGACTAGCTCCAGCTACCTCGACCGTCGCCTCCACAGTTCCAGTGGAGCAGAACTCAGTCCCGTTTACCATAATCAGGGGTCGGGCAGATGTCTCCGGGGTCACAGACAGTCCAAGGGATTCACATGCGCTTTGTTCGACGAGGGAGATCGTCGATCCTGTGTCCATTAATGCTGCAGCATCATGTCCGTTGACGCAAACCATAATGTACGGACCAGTGTCCAGTGGCTCCGGACAGTCACTCGATGTCTGTGACATCACAAGGTTGACCTTTGCCCCGGTTGGTTGAGTTGTTGTTTCTGGCGGTTTGGTGGGTTTCGTGTCTGGTCCGTGTTTCCAAGGCCTGTTGTCCTGTCTTGGGGTGGGCGGGAATGGGCACTCAGCCACCCGGTGCCCCAGTTGGCGGCAACGAAAACAGACTGTCTCGAAAGTTCCGGGCCGCTTTTGAGGTGTTGCTGTTGCTGTACTGTTCCTTGGTGGCGGTGCTCTTCCGGCACCAGCAGAACCACTCTCTGGTTTTGTGTGAGCATGAGTGTTCACTTTGTCATCCGTTGGCTTGGGGGGTGGGTAGGGGGGCCTCTTGAAGGAGTGGGGATGGAACTCTTCCGTTTTTCGGTTCAGTATATACTCATCCGCCTGTCGAGCCACAGCTTGGACAGTTGGCAGTTTCTTTTCACGCAGCTTTGTCCGGAGGTGTTCGCTCTGTAATGATGTCAGAAACTGATCTGTCAGTAACAGTTCCATCATGCGTTTCACGTCACCGGACGTGTCAGATTCATCCGATGGTTTCAGCCATCGTTTGAAGTATAGCGAGAGCCGGGTGGCAAATTCCTCAAATGTTTCATCCGGCTTCTTTGAAGCAGTCTTGAATTTGAGGCGGTATGCTTCCGGGGTCAGTTGATAGTGGCGCAGAATGATGGCGACTATTTTGGAGAAATCCTTTTTGTCCTCCTCAGTCAAAGCATGAAAAGCTTTTTGTGCTTTTCCAGTCAGGTATGGCTCGAGTAGACGGGGCCATTCACTCTTTGGTTTTTTCTGGGCAGTAGCCATACGCTCAAATGTAGCCAAGTAACATGTTATGTCATCATCACTTGACAGTTTATGAAAATCGGGCAGTTCAGGGCCGACTCTAATTGAGGAGACAGAAGCTTTGGTGGCTTCAGTCATTGCCTTCAGCAGGGATTGACAAAGGGCCTCAGTTTCACCCTTACGCAGGGTCTCAAGCTTTTCTAGTAGCTGTCCTACATCTTGTTGTGGAGGCGAGGGTTTACTCTCAGGTTCTTTCATGACAGTGAGTTCACACAAGCACTGAATACGGTCCTGTTTGGATTTGATTTCGTTCACGTCGATGTGATTGGAATGGCATAGCTGGGCTATGTATTCTCCGGTAAATCGCCGCAAATAATTTGCCCTGTTCTCGGCCATGATAACAGCTTATATTCTCAAACGATTGTTGACTCAATTATTACAGTTATCAGTCAATTATATCACGTAGAATTATCAATGTTCATTGAATATCGGCACTCAAGATTTAACGTTACTCACGCCACCGCCCGGACTGCCGATGGCGCTACAGTGTACTCGCAGATCAAAACCGTCCGCAAAATCCGCGAAAATCACCCCTCCAGCAGAATCATCCTGCCGACTACGCCAGGTGTAACGGTCTGTTACACACAATTAGGTTCAGATAACTCCACAAGAGAAGATGATTGATTCAGGATTAACAGTTCTGCTTGATTTATTCCGAGATTACGATAATTGGAAATCACATTGTTGATCGGCCATATTTGATTATCCCAGCATGCTTTGTCGGTATCCCTTATGACGTCATGAGTGGTAGTATCGAGTCAAGTCGTTTGTGTGAGTCTCCATGTCATGTCGTCATCTACTGCAGTCGTGTCAAGCCCGTTATAACTGTCGTACAGATGAGCAAATGTATGCCTAGGCCTATATCTATATCTTGGTCGTGGATGATCTGCCATTTTTTTATACAGTTGTGAAAGAAAACACGCTAGTTTGTGCAGTATATTGTCTACAATAGCTTAAAATCATTATACTGACCTTAAAAAGGTTGACCCACCACCGGCACCGAGCATGTAAACCGTACCGTACCGCGTACGTACGCTGGTGGTACGCACATGAAACTTTTCCCGGTAAATTGTAGACCTACTCGCGCGAACTCCAGCGACGGTGCGCATGCGTAGCGTCCATTGGCACAAAGCAGCCACAAGAGGGCGCTAATAATATTCATCCAGAACAAAACACATAGGATATACATTTTGTCACTTGCGATCGGTCACACTGAAAAAAAGTGTTTTGACGCGACAATATCCGAATGTGGACCATCGACTGTTGTACTGAAGAATGTAATCGGGGACGTCCCCGCTTTGGGAGCGTCCCCAAATGGAAGGTGTTTTCCGACGAATGTCCCCGATTGCAGGCTAATACAAATGCACGCACGCCGAATACAACAGAGTCACGATACAATATGTAACATTTTGGTTAACCAATGAAACACGAGAACCTCTTATTAGTATGTAGTGGGCGGGGCTTCCTGCCGCTTTTTGCACACGGCATTAATGCAAGGTTTTATCGAGAACGTCCGGGTAAAGTACCCCACCCACCCACTGAAAAATTCCTGGCTACGCCACTGGGTATAAGCTACGGAATTAGCAATCAACATGTTAGGAGACTTTCGAACTTTTGTAAATAATTTAAAAATGAAGAGGTATGTTTACAAAAAAAATGGTAATTATTGCGTAATTATTATATTTTCGAAATGCTCCAAAACTTTCGTGCAAAAACACCCTTTCACAGAACTAATTTGGTAAAGCCCAGTTTCTGTTGTGTAGAAAGTTTCTACGCTGGTTCCCGATGCCAGAACGCATTGCACAAACACGGTAACGTCTACCAGTACTAATATATATTTTTTCGCGCGTGCACACGTTCGGACCAGGATCCCGCCAACTAACCAACTTAAGGTTGCCAAACCAACGTCATCATGCCACGGCCAGGGCCTGCTTTTTCAGCAACCAGCGAGGCAATAATCGTGATAAAGAACTACATCAGATATTCAATTTTCGCTGTGTTATTCATGCTTATTTGGATGCTTGCTTTGACTGCCATTGTCAGCATGAATATTGTTCTCGTGTCCAACTCCAAGCCTGCTGAAGAGGTTTCAACAGTATCAACGACAACGTCAGGCCTAGCCCGACTGCTCACTAGGCCCGGCCCACTACTCCACTAGGCCTACATGTACAACAGCTCTGTAGTACGGACTTGCAATAGTACTGTACGGCCAGATGCAGTCGGGCTACGTCAGGCCAAGGCCTGTTTTCAACTGAAACCCAAACTTATCAACCTCCTCCATTTGGGCACTAGGCCCACTACTCCACTAGGCCTACAACAAGTACAGTGAAGTACAACAGCTAGCCTAGGCGCCTAGGCCTAACATGCCTAAGTACAGTATCACCTCCAGATAATCGCCAAATCGGCCATTATATCATCCTAGCAGGTGAGGTGTATGTTTTTTTGGCAGTGTAGGCTATATTTTGCCGGCAACGGCAATCATTTAGCGAACGTTTGTTTGCCGTTCCTTTGCTGTGATTTGTCAACTCCCATTACGTCATGCCGGCTTTCTTTCACTTAACGTTGGTTTGCCGGAGGTTGTTCCTGCTGATGTTTATGCATGATCTCTTGCATTTTATGATTTACGAACCGCCCTGCCGGCTTTTATTTTGTAAATGATATTTAACCGGTAATGTGGCACACGTCAATACTACAGCTTTACAAGGGCGGCAGAGAACAGATGTACATGTACAAAACAACAATGTACCCTATTGCATGGTATTGTCATGATTGTGTTTTTTTTTCCTTCAGCGATCTTACATGGGACCGGGACGGGTGTGTATGGTGTGTGCCGTTGGGGGTTGGGCGCAATCGGTCCATCTCTGCGATCGCACACTGGGGTAGACCCTAGCCCCATAAATGTGGCCTATTTACTGGACTACCTCCGTAAACATAGGCCACACATGTACAAAAAAGTGTTGCACTTTGCAAAATTTTGATTTTCACATTTATGCTTATAGTTTGTAGGGTTTTTTTGCTTTAGAAGCATACTCACCCTCTTTATAGGCTTATCAGAAAGTGCTGCCTTTTTCAGATGTCTAATTTTTGTGAAATTTATGTTGAAATTTTGATTCGCAATTGTGTGCAAATGAATCTGGAAATTTCACGAAAAATAGACAAAGTTGCTTGGACCTTAACTGCCTGCCAGACCATGTCCAAATGTAAAAAAGGCGATGGGTTCCAAGTTACTCGGACTGGGGTCCTAGCAACTACAATGGTCCAAATCTTGGTTTAATTGATCTGCCAATATTCCAGGTCAAAACCTTCAGATTGTTTCCCCCCATGCAGTCCCGAACATCCCCAATTTGACCCCTAAAGGACTTGGTGGGAATTAAAGGTTTGAATGATGGTGGTTCGGTTCACTTACCTTTGGGAAAAAAAATAAGTCAACTTTTTATGAAAGCATACAATATGCTGATTTATTTTTACCGCCGGAAGC